TTACTTTGCCTTCCCCACTATAACATTTCTGATGGTGTGCATTCTTCATATCCATCAAGATGTTGTTCAGACGCACTTTTGACGACCGATGTTATAATCTCTCATGATCTCCTTAAAACAGTCCGACTAACTCAATTCCTATTTGACTGGCACTGAAACGCCAGTTCGGTACACAACGCTCGGATCGCACTGAGTGGTAGAATCATTGGGGTCAGGTTACGAAGGAGCCACTACAGGCTGACTCTCTCACCTGTCGACTATTTAAACGAAAGGCGCACTGGGCTGACCGCGAGGTTCGAGTTATTTCGATAGTTGGCAGCCTTCCAAGCTAGGGCTTTAAGCAAAACGTGGTAGATTCAGGAGCGTCAGATTCTTCATGGTGAATAATACGCACCGAAACCGTCCACCTAACTCTCTCTGTCTACCCCAAGACCCCAGTCTACTGCCCGAGCCGATCGGATGCCCGACGCTGGATGTATGCGCAGTGACTTACAAAGATGGAGAGTCCGCTTGCTTACGCCACATACATGACGTGCAGGATTACACACGCAAGGGGGAAGCGACTCAGATCACACGTCGACAGCCTACACTCAGAACCATCATCGTCGTCATCATCATCATCATCATCATCATCATCATCACCACCGAGAGTTCGACTGTCGACGTTCGACGATGCCGATCGTGTGCCCGAAAGTATGGTGGGTGTATGGGCGGTGATTTGTGCGCAAATTAATTTCCAGTGATAACGGACTTGCGCCGCATCTTCCGCATACTCTCCTCCTTCCCCACTTGTCTAGACGGGGTCAAGAAGATCGGAGACGGGAGAGGGCGTAAGTGCCTGGCTCGCCGCGAGCCCGCGCCTTGGCGTGCTGTAATTGTCAGTGGTCTAGGCAACCATTTGCAGCGCAAAAGCGAATTTAAGTAGAACTTTCGAAAGAAAGTCAGTAACAAGGAAAAACGGCAGCTATACTCACTAGGTTCGTGGTCAATATTGAGACCAGGATTATGACCCAGCCTGCCAGGGGCATGTGGGGACGGCGATCTTTTTTATCATAAAGAGACTAAGGCCGAGCCTTTCGTCAGAATAAATGCACCTTTTACCAACCGTCTTCTGAATCTCGGGCTTTAAGAAAGTACAAACTGCTACATAGATTAGGGGGCAATTCTGTCAGTAACTAGTCCGCGCACGAGCAGTGTTCGGTTGACAAGTAAGCCTGCATCAGGTGCACATTCAACCGACATTTTCATGTTCCCACCGCATGGTAGGAGGGAGGAAGCATGACCGGTTTTGTTAGGCGCACTAGAACTTGGGCCAGTGACTGACCTACAGGGGGTGCACCGCCGAGCAGAGCATAGCTAACGAGAGCATGGGAGATTCACGCTCATAGCCTGTAAAACACAATAGCAAACATCAACTGACACATAAAGTGACAAACGCACGCACAAACACACACACACACAATACTTCGTCCGTCGATTTAGACGATGTCCACCGTATGCCCCACAGCAGATGGTGGGAGCAGGGACGGAGACTTGCGCAGGGGTTTATAGTGCCGGCAGACTTGCGCTGCATCTACTTACACTCCTTCCTCCTCCCCCGCCTGGGCCCGGTGTCAAGACAGAGTCAAGAATATCGGAAATGCGGGAGGACGCAGGTGGATGGCTCGGACGGATCCGTACCTTGGCGCTACACTCCGCACCCCCTGGTCCACGCAACAAATGACCAGGATTTTGACCGACAAAACAATGGGGGGAGGGGGTGGCAGGGGTTCCAGACTGCGCGAAGATTGTCGACAACAGGGTCTGCCAGCGCACCCCGCAAATGTTGGCATTTGTTATTACGCAAGATAACGCCTGGCAGAATCCAATGTGGCCCCCGTATTGGTCCAGCGCACCTACCACGTGGCCCGTTTGGGGGCACACACACACAAGAGGACGACAATCACAGCCGGAAGGAAGGGGGAAGGTGAGCATGCCTGGCGGGTAGCCGACATGTCAGACTCCCCAATGCAATAATGTAGGTATGTCATGATCGACAGATCCGGGTTTGCATACCACCACTCGCATACGGGGATATGGCAGCAGCAGTAAGTATTCTCTCATACGGAACATGTAATGATGCTTCCACAGGTTCACCTACGGAAACCTTGTTACGAATTTTGTTTCCTCTAAATAATCAAGTTTGGTCGTCTTCTGGGAACCTGTCGAGCACCATACTCGCGGCTGGCGCCAATCCGAGGACCTTACTAAACCATTCAGTCGGTAGTAGCGACGGGCGGTGCCTGTACGAGTAGGGCTGACAGAAAAAATCGTAAACATTAAAGAGTGTCTCAGGCAATGTCTGGACCATCGGTCAAACCACGCACATTACTTGGTTGATACTGTTAAATCTCATGATCTTAAAATCATGTTTTCATCCTTACTCTCTGGAGTCTATCGCGATTTAGCTTCATGCGCGATGGGATAGTTGTCACACTTTTTGGACGGTCCAAAATGGTTGTCAGTGAAATCAAAATTCTCCACGAGGGGAATGTTGTCACTCACGCCGTACTTGTATTTATTTGAGCATACCTGCTAGCAAGAAATCTTCTATTACCCATTACCCGAAATCAATAGCCGGACAGCACTATAGCCGATGAGCGCAGCAAATCCCAGTGTCACTGCGAGAACGGTACCGGTGGAACCAAACATCAATACCGTCATGACCATATTATCGCGCTCATTTTTAATTTGCGCATTTCCTACTGAACCTTGAATCTTTGTAGTACTGGATCTTGTCCCTGTAAGCATGCGCCAGTATGATTTAATATTGTGCTTGAAGAAGAAGACACGATCGCCGGGACAAGAGCTTTATTTGCCTGACGTTTCGGATTCCTGCTCGAATCCATCATCAGAGACATAAGCAGATAAGGGTGCCTTATATATACAGCAAGAACAGATTATACTGTCGCATGTAAAGTATCCTTTATCTGCGGCTACGTGGTGTACTTCGCTACCAAACAAAAAATTAAAGCGCTACAAGCCCTTAATTCACATCAATAATAACGAAAATACGATTCACAGTTGTCATGTCAAAGAAAAAAGAGGCTTTTACTGTGAGAGGTTTATTTGAGGTCTAAAACTTCAACAAAGTGATTCTGCCTACTTATCTGCGAAGGCCGAAATGTCATCCGCACAGGTATCGTTGCATGGCGCACTGTTTAATACGTAGTCCTCCAATACCGACTGTTGTACACAAAAAATCACTACCTTTTTGGAACGAGTGGATCACAGAACTCCATTCAACTTTTTCCTTAGAAGACATGTCGGCGCAATTAACAGTCTGAATAGCTATAACTAAAACAGGCGTCGTCGGGGCCTAGTAATTTTACGCTGGCGTCTATAAGATGGCACCTGTCGGCAGTTAATAATTATTGCATGGTTATCCGCTTTGGCTGATGGACTTCGGCTCGCATCAAATTTTGAGCTGTGCCTATAGAACCTAGAAAATATTAATCTACGCCAAATTCGCAGTTACTTTCTGAGGAAATTAAAAAAAACAACGAATCAATTGTTTCTGGCCTACTGAAACTGATAAGACCGTTTCCACGAGTTGCCTGCGTATCGGTTATACGTCATGTCCGTTAGTTCGCTCGTCAGCGTGACAGTTGGTTTTAGATTTGATGTCAGGATTGTTTATTGGAGGGTCAACAGAGTGAGTGCTCAGTCATCTATATATCTCCCACCACAAATGTAAAAAACCTTTCTTCCCGTTTTCAATCCTGATGCTAATACCAAATACGCCTTCGGGCACAATACTGGTTGACTTTAAACAGCCTCTTCTAAGGGACGTCACATTAAATTCTACGCTAAATCCCACCATGTATATTTCCAAATGATTATTATACTAACTCACAGTCAGACTGCAGGAATTCAAATAATGTGACACGATATCTTGTCCACTTGCTAACACCAAAGCAACTTTTTGTAACGACCACAGCTTGCGGACAAGTAGAATGAAGATTGAGGTCTTAAACTGTAAAGGGAACATTTATTTGAAATCATAGATTACAGTCATATAAATACATATGCACATATACATACATGCGGTAGATGCTAACAGTCTTAATCAAGGAAAACGTGACAGTCTAAATGCCGAATCAACAATGTTCCAAAAATTGGATTAAATATCTGTCGTCCTAAATCACCCGGCATTCTCTTATAATGTCTGAGGAATTTAAGAGTATTTTGGCATAGCCGATCAGGTGAACCATGAAGCACAGATCACCTTTCTTATTCTTCGACAACAATGTCGTCTGTTCAGAGAGAGAGAGAGTGTGTGTGCTGGCCTTAGCCACAACACAGTAGACGTCGCAGCAGCCGGACGACCCTCCTCTGCCGCCGTTTGCGCGGCCGTTCTAGAAGAGGAAGAGAAGAAAACATTGCATGCTTTGTCTGTGAGACGGTCAGAATATTTGAGACTTGTGAGACTCATTCAATATGCATGAGGTCATGTGAAAGTGATTAAGAAATCACAGACTAACCAGTTCTTTCCTCATTTGCATGCCCGCTGTCTGGCCTGAGTGTGAAGGTAAGAGAGGGCAGGGGCGCCGGCGGCGTATGACGTACATCAACGTCTTTGACTTCAATTGGGTCTTTTAAAGACAACAAGATGGTTAATGTGCTATCTTCTACCAGTGCTGCAAGAAGACACAACCAGATTTGCTGAATGGATAGACTTATTTTCTCCCTCCTGGATAGAACTTGAGTACAGTTCTGCAGCTATTCTTCATGAGATAGATAAATGTGTTTGGCTTGGTCGATGGAAGCAAAAGCCTAAGTAACTGTGTACGAAATCAGGCGAAGTCTTAATGCCTCAGCTGTCTCATTTGCCTATGGCAGACTCTTCAGTGTTTTTTGAAGAAGACAAACCTGACCAACACGACGACCATTTGAGTCTGACCGTCTCTGATAGGCTGGGTGCAGTGATGATGAAAAACTGAGAGCATAATGAATGTATTTCAAGTGGGGAAATCTGTCTTGCTCATCCATCGAGGCCGAAAATAATGTGGGGCGGTGTAGCCGTCGTCGTCGTCGTCGTCGTCGCCGCCGCCAGCGTTATCATCATCATCATCATCATCATCATCATCATCATCATCATCATCATCATCATCATCATCATCATCATCATCATCATCATCATCATCATCATCATCATCATCATCATCATCATCATCATCATCATCATCATCTCCTGCAACGGCAGCATGATCCATGATAAAAACACACCGTTTTCTGCGCAGATCTCCATATGCGAGAGCTAGTGCATCGACTATCTACAACAACTGCTATTCCAGTCAGCAGCCTTAAAAATTTGCCTTCTTTTCTGGGCTTTTAGCTAATACCTGTGTTGTTAGTACGGTAAATCATTGCCCAGCCTTGAAAATTCTTCAATGCATATATGTGATATGACTTCCGAATTTTAGCAACATTTAGCATCTGTTTTGAGAACTCGACCCGGATTAGCATGTGACAAATATAAGGACTCGCAGGCTCTTGAGGTAGATTCTGCTCACTAGAAACTACCGAGTCTGTCTGTACAAATTTATTTTAACAAAATGTCAACTCACCGGTGTCGGTATCTGCAGGCGTCGAGGAGACCGAAATTTGGTTGTCGCCACATGCGGGCAACCAGGTAAGGGTGTCGCTGAAGATAACTGGGAAGATAGCCTCCACGTCGTTGTCACCTAGGAAACATCGGGCATTGAATTCAAAACTCTGGTTAACTTGGAAGCGTAGTTGTTGTGCTAAGGAGTGAGGTGACATATTGGTTGCAGTTCACTCGTAATGTGCGCTTATTGCCTTTACTTGGACATCATAGGATGGGGACGCTGTACGAATTAATCCAGACTGCAGTCGCAATTTGAGGCTAAATCAACGTTGAGAAGAGGTCTGTAATCTGTTTTGTCCTGGTACACGCAAGAGTGAATTCAGCCTAGAAGAGTGCTTCCAGTTCAGACAGAAATACACACCTGTCTTCCAAAACCAATGATTGAGTTAATGGAAGTTGATGAACGCATCCCCGGGCCCACCTATGCACACCATGCACATTCCATTTTCTGGTGGAAAAGAGTAAGTTGCATTGGGTCATTTTAGTGTCTCGAATTCTGACCAATCTGCACTTCATACTTTAGTATAGCATGGAGCCGAGTTCGTCAAACAACTGCCGTTGGCATTGACTTTCACCGAGGACTTAGTGATGGGAAATTGATCTGCATGTGAAAGCAATGCCTCTCAGCGTTTTGTCTCGCGGATTGCCTATCGCATGCAAACATGAGACAGGGCTGTGTCTTGCCAGAAGCCGATGTGACTTCTTCCTGCCAGGGTCGCTTAAAGCGTGGTTGAATAACCAGCACAAATTTGAAGAGTTGACATGCGTGGACAGTTTGCCATTGTGTCTACATCGGACAGCTAGGCATAGGCTGAGTGGCGATTTGCACTTTGGAGATAGACAGACATATTTTAATATTGATAGCATAATAAAAGCGAGGAAGGATAATAGAGAATGCAGGTAGATTTATAAATTGCTGTTTCAGGCTTATTTTGCCCTCACTCAGCCAGTCACAACTCCCAATGAAACTGCAGGAATTCGACTAAGGTGACACAATCGTTGGCATTGACTTTATTTGAGGGTTTAATGATGGGAAGTTGATCTGCATTTGACAGCAATGCGTCTCAGGGTTTTGTCTCGTGGATTGCAGGTTGCAGACTGCCTATCGCTTGCAAACAGGAGACAGGGCTCTGCCTTGCCAGCAGCCTATATGACTACTTCCTTCACATCAGAGTCGCTAAACGCCTCTATCTTTTAATTCGTTAAAATGATGTCAGTAGGGTTAATGACAGGGACGCGACCTTGAAACCTGACATTTGGACAATGAACAACTGTGCCTTGCACATCAAGAGATTGACCTACCGCATTCCGCCGACATTCTCCATTTGTGTGCCTCCGTCTGGGCCGGCTCCTGCCTCGACGGTAGGATGATGGGGGCCTTCTCTACTTCCATCCGAACTTCCAGCACCCCTGGACCCTTAATGCCATCTACAACATCCACGGCAGTAAGAGTGTGTGTGAGAGCGCGGCCATCGTACAATGGCAGCGAGCAAATTTCACCTAACCCTCTCATTAACTGCAAACCATATGGTATGAAGCCTCTAAGTAATAAAACGGAAAAAAGGCCAAGTGACAATTCGTAGATAATGCCTACCCTCGACCGTGCACAACGTAGCTGCCTCTTCGGCCTGCTCATACGACTGTGCAGCGTGGACAGTGACGTCCTCTTCAGCACATTCGCAAACTTCCTGAGCATATCGATCTTTCATGTCATCTAAAATGCGTACGCGGAGAGAGTACTGATGTGCGGTTTAAGATTGATTTCTCAAATGCGAAACGCACGATGAATCGTGCGCCGTGGCGCTGCGAGGAAAAATTGCCGTGTGGAATGGAGGTAGATATGGTGGTGGTGGTGGTGGTGGTGGTGATGATGGTGTTAGTGGTGGTGACGGCGGCGGCGGCGGCGGTGGTGGTGTTGGTGGTAGTAGTAGTAGTAGTAGTAGTAGTAGTAGTAGTAGTAGTAGTAGTAGTAGTAGTAGTAGTAGTACTGTTGGTGGCAGCGGCGGCGGTTTCGTTGACTCAGGGGTAGGGTCAACTGCAGAGTCTTGCATGGCGTAAAGCCATTGCCGACGCCTGGCCCCGCACATGCACTTTTCCAAATGAGTACGATGCGTTCTCCCCGGAACTCACATCCCTCTAAAAATGGATGCTGTGAAATGGGTCGTGTTACAGAGGGCCACTAAGCTAGCAGATGATTACAACATCCACGGTAGTATGGTATGCGTGTGGGTGTGTGTGTGTGCGTAGATGCGCTGTCCAACATGTCACTGTGTCTGTTATAATTTTCAGGAGAGCACACGGTGGACATCGCCGACAACGACGGCCGAACTGTCGTGTGTGCGTGTGTTTTTAAGGGCGCCAGGGATATTTGCCACTGACACACTTATAAACTGCAAACCATATGAAACAGATGCTCGTCAATGTAAAAGCAGAAAAAGGGTGTTTGACTTGTCATGGATAATACCTACCCTCGACTGCCGTCAGCAGGGCTTGCTTTTCAGCATTCTCATCCGACTCTTGGTCGTTGACTATGGCACATTCCTCAGCATCCTCCCATTTCTCCTCAGCCGTTTGGAGTTCAATATCATCTAAAATGAATACGCGGGATAAGAACAGACCGTCCGTCATGGGATCGAGAAGAGATGTTGGTAGTGGTGATGGCGGTGGTGTTTTCGGTGACTCGCAGCATGGCGTCCGGCCATTGCCAATAGCTTGCGCGCAAATACACTCTGCAACACGAATACGAAAATGCCTTCGTGGAAGATGCATACCACCGAAATGGATGCTGTGAAGTGGGTTGCATTAGGAAGGATCCACTGGGCCTGCTTTTGTCTTATTGTCATTTCTTCAGCTTACCTGAATTCGTTATAATAAAGTAATTGGAGCAATGAATTGGAGGCAGATCTGTCTCCCCTCTCATCTATATTCCCAACTGGTGCAAAGTACGAGTCGGGCCAGGGGCCTAGTGGTGGAGTGTTTGTTTCAGACTGAATACAAAAGCAAGCAACGGAGGTGGAAATATCCCCAGCCGCACCCCTGAACCAACGTTATCCCTGACGTCCGGGATCGAGAGGATTGATCAGTTCTGAGGTAACCTCTGTCAGTTACCCACCTCTAGGTGTCAGGTAACGGCGACAGGTTTTGCTGTACGCACACAGATGGAGAAATGCGATGCAGGTACAACAGGCATAAGGTTTTGTGGGTACTCCACTCTTTCTAGTTTGAACAGGCAGGAGGTTTTTTACGCACAAGGCTGCATCATTTAATTAATGGCCCAGGTCAATGGCAGTCCCCTGACAAATAGGGCGGCTATTCTGAGCCCGTTGAGTCTTAAAATCTCACTGTTTACTTAGTCTACAGACCTCGAGGATATTTACATACCTACGCTTATCTGTACTATTCACGACGGGAATACTAATATAGCCATGAACCTCTACTAGAGCAGCCCAAGTGAATGTGAATTTGCAAAATTTTGAAGTTCTTGGGTTAATATTAAAGAGCCTTGTCTGGGATTACTTAGTTAATACTGATATGGAACACAGTTATATGTTTTTAGAAGAATTCAGCTCACTGTAATGCTAAAACCTATGCCCTCTCCTTATCCGAAAAGTTCAAGCAAATGCTACAACAACACATATGAGAAGGGAAGTGCAGTATTTGTAAGACGAGACTTACAAAACACGTCCTCCTCCTCCTCCTGCTGCTGCTCCTCATCGTGTTCCTCACTCTTCTTCTCCTCGTTGCCCTCCTGTCTCCCCTTCACTCTCTTCTCCTTCTCCTCCATTTCCTTCTCCCTCCCCTCCTCATGCTGCTCCGTCTCAAGTTCTCCCGCCTCCTCCTCTCGCTCTTTCTCTTCTTGCTCGTCTACCTCTTGCCTCTCCTCCTGCCTCCCCTCACGCTCCTCCTCATCATCCTCCTCCATTGAATTCCACTGCCATATCTTCTCAGAGATATACCGCACAATGTTCGCTGCCCAATGGACGTACATTGCAACCACCAGTGCTAGCTAGGTATGCAGTTCTGATGCACCAGCCGTCTGTTCAAACAGTGCCTAGATCAATAAGCGCGGATCTCGCACGCGATAGGTTGCCATGAAGGCCGTCCGGCATCGCAGCAGTAAATTTACGAATATCTCCTTTGTGTTACACTCAGCCCTCCACAATTTTTGCCAAAATTGCTAACTTGTGCTTCAGGGGTTCACTAGGTGACTTCTAATTTGCTAAACCAAATAAGACGCTGGGTCTTTATGGCGAGATCTCATAAGATTCGGCGAATATTAGGTGCAACTTAATAAATTCTGCGGAAGATTACGGATTGCTTCAACTTCGTTCGAGCACTGACTGACAGCAGAATGCATTATATGCGCCCCGGAATTTTAAGGGTAAATCCGTAGTAAGAGAATATTAAGGGACGAAGTTGCGTGCATAAAGGATAGGCTCAGACACTTGTTAATTGAAGATCCACAAAACGCACAAATGCTTTCCCAGTTTTTTTCAATCAGTTTTTTTTTCGGTAGAGTTCTCTTGACACAATCCGAGATTCAAGACTGGTCGAAACAATAGGGAACTTCGAATGGGCCAAGGTGCTGTCGTCATTAAAACCGTTAACTTTTCCATCGATGAAGCAGGACGCGTCTCCAGTTAAATTAAGTCAGAGTGGTCACCTTGAAACCATGGAATTCCAGGGCTGATACTTTAAGACCCCCCGAAATAGGTTTAGGGAGGCGACGTACCTGCAGCTTGTAAGAACGTATGCGTAGCTAATAGGGGTAATATTCAATGAGCGTGTACGGATATTCCTAACGTGTTGGCCTGTAAACAACAGGGTTTTGATAACCATTGCCCACTAGCCTAACCAAATACACCGAAACTTCTCCCCCGCGAGAGTAAAGCATGCAGTTATACTGATGAGTACGATATAGCCCTCTAACTTAGTTAGCCTCTAAGGACATGGTGCTGTCAGCTAAGCTGATGCTGGAGTTGCCGGAGTGGGAGGAGGAGGAGGAGGAGGAGGAGGAGGAGGAGGGGGAGCTTCTGAACTGAGAAGTTTATTAAAGTCATCTGATTGCCGCGTTTCGTTTTGTTCATACGACATATAATACCTGATTGCGTAGTGTAGATATTTCAGTGAACCAAATTCCCCAGATCAGCATCTATGGGGGCCGTAAGCAGTATGAATATATATGCAGACCTGTGCATGGAAGGAAGGGGGAGATTTGGGAGGAGAAATATTGCAAGATTTCAGGAGACACCAGTATTTTCCACGAACCTTTGAAGTATTAAGCCCTTGGGGGATTGTTCGTGGATTTGGTCAACTTTGTGAGTCATTGCCAAACCAAATTCACTTGGCCGAGAACGTGGCCAAAACGAATCCTACGTTCCCCGCCTACTGAAATTCATAAAGTACTTCCTACGAGCGCTATGTGTGTTTTCCATTTGGATTGGGGCCAGTGTGGCAGTTGGTTTTGGGTTTGGTACCAGGGTTGTGTACTGGGAAGGTTCGCCAGATGTTGTAAACCATAAGTCGATACAGAATGATTGGATAATCGCCTAGATATCACAGTCGGCTACGGGGAGTAGACTCCCGTCACCTGTCTTCTCATTCGACTTCTTCTTTATATTAATCATTTTTTTATGCAGCTAGAAGTCTCTCTAGTAACATTTCAAGAATGACATTTACGCTGTTTTGCAGGACGTCATTTGCGAATAATTCCAAAGAGGAGAACGAACGCCGAAATATCTCTTCGGCTTTTCACGCTACAATTTTATGCGAAATACTCCAGACAGCACAGAATAGGTAAATTCCTTCTGCAGGCCGACACATTACATCCCATAAACTGCTTTTGCGCATTATTGTACCGACAGCCAGTTAGACAGCATCAAGTATTCGGCTTATGTGACACGGAATCTCGCATGGTGGCTAACATCAAAGCAGCTACTGGTGACAACCGCTTTCTGCGCCGGCGGGACCAATCTGATGCTGACGAATACGATGAAGAGCGATGTTGAAATCGGAGAAGGGAACATTTATTTGAAATCACAATTTTATAGTCAGATAAATGCATACATATGTACATACCGGTAAATGCTCGTAGTCTTGATCAAGAAAAAAAGGTCATAGCTTAAATACTGAATCAACATGGGACTCAAGATTGGATTAACCATCCAACGTTCTAAATCAACAAGCATTATCTAGTCATGGCTAAGGAAACTAGCAGGACTGTCCTAGAGCCCACCGGGAGATTCATGAAGCCCTCACAGCGAGCCATTTGCAGAGCACCTTTCAAACCCGCCCTCGGCAACGTGTGAGTTTGTGTGTTAGAGGCAGGATAGGTAGTCTTCTTAACCGCAACACAGCGGCCGTCGCATAAACCGAGCAATTCTCCTTCCCTGACTTTTGCGAGACCGCCCTAGATGAGGAGGAGGAGGAGGAGGAGGAGGAGAAGGAGGAGGAGGAGGAGGAGAGATGATTGCCCGTCAAATCTGTTAAAACTCTAGAGCATTTAACGCATGTCATGGGAAAGTGATTAATAAGTCACAGACTGACCTGCCCCTCCGCCAGTTTCATGTTCACCGTCTGCGTCTTGTGTCCCGGCGCTGGTGAACAGACAATGCCGGCGCATGTCTGACATCAAATTTTTTGTCACTCACTAGGTATTTCAATAGGCAATAAGGCAGTTAATACGGTGCTGCAAGATAGGTCAACAAGACTTGCTGAATGCAGATGAGATGTACAGCGATTTTGTTCTTCGCCTAAGCTTCAGGGAATACATAAAGGCGCAGGGCTTTGGCGATGGAAGCATATCAACATCTCCTCGTTACAGGCGTGCGAACGCGCACGTCAAGATGATTGGAACTGCAAATCGGTCAATCTAGCGACAAAAGAGGAGCAGCGACCCATTAGAGCATGCGCCTGATTCAGGAAGACAAGCAATGTTGCAACCAGACTCGACTACAACATTCTATATTGGAATCTCCGTAACACTTTTTGACTGGCCTCTGATAGACTGTTCAGAATTTTACAATCGACAAAGAAAAGGAAGACTTGAATGGCCATTTCTGGCTTATTAGCCGTCGTCAGCCGGTCGTACCCAACCCCGAAGTGTGGAAAACCTCGGTCTCAAACTCGCAACCTTTTGGTTGGAATTCCAACGCCTTCAACCACTGAGCCTCGGGCCAATTTTCCTGTCGGTTGCGATCGGAAATATACAATGGTAGAAGCGCACTCACCGAGCGTTCTTACAGAACCCACTCGTTCAGTTTTGCCTTACGGCTCTCTCTCTCTCTCGAGCCCAACCAGCAGCCGCACAGCGGCGCATGATTAGGGCAGACTGCCATTACCCTTGTCTTTGTCGGAAATGACATTCTGCCTATATCATGCGCCGCCATGCGAATGCTGGTTGTACTCGAGAGAGAGCCCATAAGGCACAACGGAACGAGTGAGATCCGTAAGAACGATCGTTGAGCGCCCATCTACCATCGTTCAGAATTCCTCGAAGAAATCATGCGTGACCAGAACGGTGACCTTTTGCGTCTGCGGGTAGGAGCGGCGACGATGGCAGTTCGAGAATAGACTGAACAACCTCCACCATCACCATCACCACCAACATTATTATTATTATTATCATCATTACCATCGTCAGCAACCGCAGCAACATCAGATTCAAAACTGCGCCGATCGTCTCCTGAGTCAGTGTCAAACACATGCTTACCGCGGCTGATCCCTATATGCGACAGCTAATGCATCGTCTGCCTACGACTGTTGATATTTCAGACAGCAGCCACGAAAATTCCTCAGTGCCTAGGTGTGAATTCAGACTAGACTACTAATAGACCGAGAGTTTACCTATATCTCTCATTCTCGAAAATCAAAACTAAATGTCTGCCTTACAGAGGATATATCCTCTATAGGCTAAAGGTCCAGTACCCCAACAATAATTTGCATGCATGAAACAAGTCAGATTACGTAGAAAGAACACACCTGGATCTTTCGGCAGAAGGTCGTTTGTAATTACAATTTTATATTTGTCAATGACTTCACCAATGTACTTGCCTTGCTATTCGTCTTCTTGTTCTCCAAATGACGAGACGTCTGTTGCAGATTGTCCTAGCCAGCCACACAAACAGCATCCAGACGGTTAATCCGAGGCCGTCAGTCCGTGATTTCTTAACCACTTTCCCCTGGCGTGGTAAATTAGGCAGACAACGATACGACCACACCGATTAATTCTCTCTTCTTACGGATAGTTCGAATCAAATAGCGTACAAGGAAAGCTAAGTACGTTTCCGTGATATCGGATGCTTCCTGTTCGTAAATACACATGATATGATGGCTGGCGTTAACATGGATGGCGATAATGATTGTAGTCATTTTTAAAACAGAAAACCGAAATTATAGCTGATATGCAAACAACGCTTGCAATCCCCCCTCCAGTTCTTTAGTCATCATCTCGTAGATGCTGTCGTAGGATTACGAGGTCCCTCGGTAACAATCGGGAGATGGCACCCAAAAAATCCAACCATTGATGGCTTTTGCACGTCATCTGTCTAGGCAATAGTCTCTGTCACATTTTCAGAATTAGTCGCATCCAGTATTTGTTCAGCTTGGCTTCTATGGGTCACCGTTCTTCGAGGATTCGGTTTGGCGATTGCGTCTATCGACCTATAAGTGTAAGATACATTTACTTTCCTTATAACTATAATTTTTATATATTGAATGCTATGGGTACATACTGAGTATGCATCAGATGTAGAACATACTATTCAACAGTTGGCTACTTTTCAAAAAAAATTGGCACAGGTGCTCAAATGCCTCGCGGGTTGCTTAAAATGGTTTGCGTCTACAGCACTGCTATTTGTTTACTTTTCATTTACCGCGCCCATTTTCTTTGCCATATAGTGATGAAGTAAAACTTTGTCGTTCGAAAAGTAATTTCTGAAAAAATTCTTAGTATTATTTACATTTATGCACGCAATCGAAGGCCCCACCCCTAAAACCCCTATTACCACCTGTCCCGTAAGACAGGCTGCTTTGGTTGGACGGAGTTTTTTGGCTGCCATCTCCCGATTGTTACCGGTTTCTCTGGCGTCTGTTTTCCTGCTCACAGAATGGCACCCCTGATTGGACACACCCTGCGCGCGCAGACATCCCTTCTGAGCAGAAATTTGAAAGACGCTCTGCGATAGACTCGTGCATGAAGAGCGTGCTCCGAGGGCAGACTCCTCCTCCTCCTCCTCCTGCCAGCATGAGTAACATGATATTGAATGATCAAAAACCCGCCAAATTTACTTTACGCTCAATGTTTTAGAGTCTTCTGAAGACTGGCGTGTCGTTAGTGGATTGGCTGCTTCTTGTGTGGGAAAATCGCGATTGGTCATTGATTGGGCTGCAATTGTAAGCTGTGATACTCGGGTTACGTGACGGCTTGGTCTCGTGTGTAGGTTCAAAGGAAGCAGAATGTAACTCAGGGGGAAGTTGACAAAGAAATTAAAACAAGTCAAACTAAAAATGCCTGTCCATTACCGAGCAAAGATTTCGTGCTTAATCGATAATGCAGCACACGCAGATTGGCTAGCTGATTCCGCGCACACATTTCGCAGCCGAATTGGCATACCGTGACTTGCGCAATCGTGTTTTCCCTTCACCATAGTTCGTGACTCCCTTTTGTTTCTTTATCTAATAACGACATTTATTTGGCGATAAAACAATAATTTCAAATGAAGCTGCTGCTGCTTCCAGTTCCAACCGCCTGTCTTCAACAAATTCGACTTCTTCATCAGCGTACCACTCGTTGTGTCCGTTACTAGAGGAGGTGCCATGTTAAATTAGCCGAATATCTTCGGTCTCATTGGGAATAACTAAACAAAAGCGGTCGATATTAAGTAGTGGGTCCATTTTTAGCAGGACCCATGCAGAATGTTTTTCTTCTTCTTCTTCAACATCGTCTTCGTCATCGTCATCATCATCATCATCATCGTCGTCGTCATCATCATCATCATCGTCGTCAACATCATCATAATCGTCGTCATAAGCAACATTATCTTAGTCGTCCTGGCAGGGTTCTGGAAGGTTACCACAATTCCATATGTCGCATTTCACAGAACCACTATGAAACAGATAAGTTACAGCATGTCAGGACAGTTGGGTACAGTTATTGACGATCACGGAGGGCAATTGCTTCGTAGCTTCCTCACCTACTGGCATTCCTGAGCTTTTAAATTAAAAGACCAGGTTGTTTTTAATTGCATGCTTTTTAGTCGGGTAAGGACAGCGTTTGCTTCGAATATGCAAAACATGAGAATATATTATCGAAGCAGTAACAAACGAATATATCCTGAATGGGGGAAGGTTCTGTGGAGGTTTTATGCTCCCCAGAATGGGCAGCCAGGGCGTTTTGTATGAATTAATCCGAAAGATTTCAGCAATCAACCAGGTTAAGACATGCACTTTGTTACGGTACAATATCAGGACGGGTCATGCCAATTTGACGACGCAGATTTTCGACTGTGATGTCAGCCTCAGATATGAATATGCACCGTTGGTCGCCGCTGATCTGTTCGCCCTGTTGAATAGTAGCACTTGCTATGCCAAGTTTGGTCTGGCTGACGCCTACCTGCAGATTGAAGTGGCTTCAGATTAGCACGAATTGCTGAGGATCCACACTCAACGTAGTCTGTCTGAGGCCAGACCCGTTGTGAAAATAAAGTCGTTCTGTTATTCCCAACGGATTTGACAGTTAATATAGACAACTTCGCAGCTGGCCGTAGCTGCTTGGTGCGGTAGACACGTCGACGGGACAAAGCCAAGCGATGAAACACCAAACAATGTAGACAGGAACGAATCTATCGTGTTTTGGGCGTTCACCGATCAGGTTACGGGACATGCTCGCCCTGTTGTGCGCGACAGAACAACCGGTCAGTGGTTGAATACTAGAACCTGCGTTCTACAAGCGTGCGATGGATTATGGCTGCCTGAGAGGCGACGGCTAGCAAGTCAGAAATAGCCCTCCCGACCTCCCTTGACATTTTCGACACCATCACCTGCCCAAATCCAACTGCAAATCCTTCTGGTTGCGTGTGAAATCGACAAACGCGATGGAGACATTGCCATCAACGATGACGCTAACTGCAGCCAGCCATAGATTCTATTTCCTGATTTCACCCCCATGTAAGGCATCCCTGCACGTTTTATGCAATTTTCCCTCGTAAACTACGCAAATGACTGCACTTTTTGCTCATTATTTATAAATGTACTTAAAATTTTATGTTTACATGGAAAGGACCGCCTGCCGCACCTATCGCAGTTCCACACGGTAGAAACGTTGTTCGCAAACAAATATGCTACTGGCGCAATTTTAGTAAGATATTCATGAATAGTTGCACACCCCACCTATCGAATTTGGAAATGATTGTTATGTTAAGCCGCCAGTGAGACGGCAGGAATTCGACTAAGGTGACACAATCTCTTGTCCACCTGCCAATAACATAGCAACTGTTGGTAACGTGTCTACATCGCCTTTGTTGATTTCTAGCGTGACGATTTCTCGGGGGTCTGACCTATTCTCATCGTAACTTTTGGTGGCCCGGGCACGCCCAGCATGGCTGCTTATTTTCTCCAGGCAAAATCACAGAGCTGAATATGGAGACGGATGGTCATTGGGCTTGTAAGTTGAATGCTTTTCTACGGGCCGTCGCATTAAAAACCCCACCAAGTGCATTTCCGAATCATTATTATACTAAATCCCAGTAAAACTGCAGATATTCGACCAAGGTGACATAATCGCTTGTCCACTTGCCAAAGCAAGGCAACTGTAGGTAACGATCGCAGCTTGTCGTCGAATACGATGAAGATTGAGGTTTGAAACTGTAAATGGAACATTTATTTGAAATCATAATTTTACAGCAATATAAATGCTCATACATATATACATACAAGCGGTAGATGCTCGCAGTCTTAATCAAGGAATAGGTGACAGCTTAAAAGCTGAATCAACACTGTTCCAGAAGCTGGATTGGATATCGGTCGCTCTAAATCAACCCGCATTGTCTTATCATGCCTAAGGAATATAGGGGTACTGTGGCATGGCCGATCAGGCGAATAATGAACCGCAGATCACCCTTCAGATTTGTGGACAGCTGGATTCTCTGTTAACAGAGTGTGTGTGTGTGTGCTGGCCTTAGCCACAACACAGGAGACGTCGCAGAAATCGAATGACCCTCCTCCGCCGCCGACGCCGTTTGCGAGACCGTCCTATGGAGGGGCAGGGGGAGGGATCATTGCATGCCTGAGCTGAGAAACGGTCAGAAAATTTGAGAACCGTGAGACTTGTTCAATATACATGAGGTCATGTGAAAGTGATTAAGAAATCACAGACTAACCAGCTTTTTCGTCACTTGCATGTTCACTGTCCGGCCTGAGTGTCGAGGGAAAAGAGGGCGGCGGCGTATGTTGGATATCAAGATCTTTGACTCCTAGTGGGTCTTTGAAAGACAACAAGATTGTTAGTATGCTGTCTTCTGCCAGTGCTCCAAGAAGGCACAACCAGATTTGCTGAATGGATAGCGGCTTAGTTTCTCCCTGTGTGAAAGGACTTGACTAAACTTCTGCAGCTATGCTTCATGAGATAGATGAATTTGTTTGGCTTGGTCAATGGAATCAAACGCCTAAGTCGCTGTGTACACGTCATTTCCCGTTGCAATATCTCCCGTTACAGGCGAGCGAGCGAGCGCATACGTCTCTACCTCAACGACTCGCAGGCCGTTGAGGTAGATTCTGCTCACAAGAATATACCGTGTCTGTGTGTACAAATTAATTTTGTCAAAATGTCAACTCACCAAATTCGTCAGATGAATCCATCGGGGGCACTAAAATTGGATTGTCCCCACAGGCCGCCAGCCAGGTGAGGGGGTCGCTGAAGACCACCGGAAAGATGGCCTCCGCGTTGTTGTCACCTAGGAAACATCGGGCATTTAATTCAAAAGGCTGTTTAAATTGGAAGCCTAGTTGTTGCGTTAAGTAGTGAAATGGCAAATCGGTTGCAGTTCACTCGTAAGGTGCGCTTATTGCCTTTACTTGGACGTCATGTAATGGAGACGCTGGAGGCATTAATCCAGACTGCAGTACCAATTTTAGGCTAAACCATATTGGGGAAGCGGCCTCTCTTCTGTTTTGTACTGGTACACGCAGGGGTGAATTCAGCCTAGAAGAGTGGTTCCAGTTTTCCAAAAATACACATCTGACTTTCAACACCCATGAGTGAGATAATGCAAGTTGATGAACACATCACCGGGCCCACCTATGCACACCATGCACATTCCATTTTCTGATGAAAAAGAGTAAGTTGCATTGGATCATTTTAGTGTCTCCAAATCTGACCAATCTGCACTTTATAATTTAAAGTCGCATGGAGCCGAGTTCGTCAAACAACTGTCATTGGCGCGGACTTTCATTGAGGGGAGTTCAATGGAGGGAATTTGGTCTGCAGTGGGTAAAATGCTCTCAGTGACTGCACCAGGATAATATGTGGAGAATAGATTGACCTACCGTTTGCCGCGGACATTCGCCATTTGTGCTCAATCTGAGCTGACGTCCTGGTTGACAGGATGACAGAGGCATCCTCCGCCTCCCTTCGGACTTCCGACGCAAACAGCAAATCCGTATCATCTACAACATCCACAGCAGTAAGATTGCGTGTGAGAGAGCTCATCGTACATTTGTGGTGAGACAAATTTCACCATATGATACGGAAGCCTCTAAGTAATAAAACGGAAAAAATGCCAAATGACGATTTGCAGATAATGCCTACCCTCGACCGTGGTCAGCTCAGCTTTGTGTTCCGCCTCCACGTACGACTGTGCGGCATGAACCTCGATGCCCTCGTCAGAACACTCCAAACGTGTCTGGACACAGCTGAGTTCAAAGTCATCTAAAATGCGTATGGTGAGTGAGTACGGGTAGGTGACATTGTAAGCCAGATGGGTGCAGCAGAACACACGATATATCGTCAGATATGACAATGAGAAGAAACACTGGCGTATTGGATGGAGGTAGATGTGATGGTGGTAGCACTGTTGGTGGCAGCGGCGGCGGCAGTTTTGTTAACTCGGGGTTAGGGTCGACTGCGTGGCGTAAAGCCATTGCCGACGCCTGGCTCCGTAGATGAACTTTTCCATATCAGTAAGAAGCGTTCTCCCCGCAACTAACACTGGGTCGTGTTACAGAGGGCCAATAGGCTAGCAGGTAACTACAGCCTCCGTGGTAGTATGGTGTGTGTGTGTGTGTGAGCCGCGGACGCTCTTATTGACTACACATCATATGATACAAATGCTTGTCAATGCAATAGCAGAGAAAAGGTGTTTGACGTAACATAGATAATGCCTACCCTGAACTGCTGCTGTCAGCGGGGGTTCCTCTGCAACTTTCTCGTCCGACAGACCGGTGGAGTCTATGACGCATTCCTCTACAAATTCCCAGCACTCTTCCGCGCATTGAAGCTCGACATCATCTGAAATACATACGCGGATTGCGAACAGATCATCCGTTGTGGGAAGAAGTAGAAGCACTGCTGTATATCAGAGAGGCAGAAGTGGAGATGGTGTTGTTGTTGTCGTCGTTGTTTTTGATGGTGGTGGTGGTGGTGGTGGTGGTGGTGGTGGTGGTGGTGGTGGTGGTGGTGGTGGTGGTGGTGGTGGTGGTGGTGGTGGTGGTGATCGTTTCGGTGACTCGCAGGTCATATGGACCGCAGGGTCTATCGTGGCATACGGCCATTGCCAATGTCATATTCCGCATGTGCGCATTCCAACTAGATTACGGGGCTGCCTTCGTAGAAATGCATATCAAGAAAATTAATACTGTGATGTGGCTTGTGTTAGGACGGGATGACTAGGCCTGCTTTTACTTTATGACAATTTCTTCAGCCTTCCAGGTCTCAATATGTGTCGCGTCGGATACCTTATAAGGCTATTGAAGCCATCGACTGGAGCCGGATCCGTCTGCCTCCCATATATCCTTCAAGTGGTGGAGGGCTTAGAGGTGGCTTGTTTGTCTCAGACTAAATGCAAAAGCTAGCGACGATGGTGACGGTGTCACCTACCGCACCCGTTAAATATCATTGACGATATTAACTTCAAAACCATGCCCTGCGTAGATTGCGTCTATAGGAGTGGGAATATTCTTCTAAGACTAGCAAAGCTTGAGGTTGTGCACATCCAAACGACTCTGGGAAACTCTGGTTTACTCATTTCCTAATATACTGACACCCCAGAAGTTTCAAAGCTTGGAGACTTCAGCACATCTTCTTCTTCTTCTTTATTTCGGGAGAATCTAACACACTGCAATGTTGATACCCGCGCCTACTCATATCTGTTAAGTTCAGTCAAATGTTCCAACGACTTCAATGAGAAGAAATGCTCAGTAATTATTAAACGAGACATACAAAACAGGTCCTCCTCCTCCTCTTTCTGCTCCTGCTCCTGCACATCTTAAACGAATTCCGATAAGGGAAATTCTATTTATTTACTTCCTAATATACTGACACGCCAGAAGTTTCGAAGCTTAGAGACTTCAACACATCTACTCCCAGTCAACCTCCTTCTATTTCGCCTCCCCCTCATTTAGCTGCCTTTGTAACTTTTAAATCAGAATTTTAAGGCAAAGTGATTCTATCTATCGACTTTGTGTTCTGTTTTTGTTGTGGTAAATTTGCAGCGGGGTCTATGTCGATTGCCTTTGACGAAGAGGCCCATACCGAAAAGCGCAATTGAATGGGAATTTGTGGAAATTTTAAGATCCTGGGCTAATATTCAAGAGCCTTGCCTGGCACTAAGTATTTGGTACTGATATACAACACTGTTCTGATTATTTTTTAGGAGAATCTAGCTCACTGCAATGTTGATACCTGCGCCTACATTTATCTGAAAAGTTCAGTCAAATGCTACAACGACTTCTATGAGAAGTTATGCTCAGTAATTATCAAACGAGTCTTACAAAACACGTCCTCCGCCTCATCCTCCTTCTCCTCCTGCTCCTCCTCATGTTCCTTCATCTCCCTGTCGCGCTTCTGCCTCCCCTTCACCCTCTTCTCCTTCTCCTCTTCCATTTCCTCCTCCCTTACCTTCTCATGGTGCTCCTTCTCAAGCTCTCCTTCCTCCTTGTCCTCGCGCTGCTCCTCCTTCTCTTGTCTCTCCTCCTGCCTCCCCTCAAGCTCCTCCTCCTCCACTGAATTCCACTGCCATATCTTCTCAGAGATACACCGTACAATATTCACTGCCCAATCGACGTACATTGCAACCACCAGTGCTAGCTAGGTATGCAATTCTGATGCACCAGCCGACTGTTCAAACAGTGCCTAGATCAATAAGCGCGGATCTCGCACGCGATAGGTCGACATGAAGGTCATCAGGAGTCGCAGCGGTCAATTCACGAATGCCCCCCCTGTGTGTTACACTCAGCCCTCCATAATTTTTGCGAAAATTGCTAACAGACAATCGCAGGTTCATTAGGTGATTTCTAGTAGCTAAACCAAATAAGAAGCTGGGTCTTTATGGCGAGATCCCATAAGTTTCGGCGAATATTAGTGCAACTTAATAAATTCTGCGGAAGATTACGGATTGCGTCAAATTCTTTCGAGCACCGACTGACAGCAGAATCCATTATATGCGCCCCGGAATTTTTATGCGTACACTTGTAGTAGGAGAACATTGAGGGACGCGTCCCCAGTTAAATTAAGTCAGAGTGGTCACCTGGAAACCATGGCGACTACTGATTATTTGACCAGTGACCCTTTCCGAATATTCATTCCTTCCTTACTCTAAGACTTCTCCAGGAGAGCTGAAATACGATCAAATGTTGAATTTGTGGTTTCAACCGAATTACTTTGGCCTGATAGCGGCCGCTTCAACGTCGCAATGGACAGGGTCTTTTACCACGATTACTCAAATGTTCTGCTGTGCTTGCATATAGTGCGGTTATTTATTCTGGACTGTATATGCACTAACCATTGATGCCTGGAATCGAGAGTACTGATCATTTCTGAGGCAGATTCCTGTGTCAGATAACCACCTCTAGGTGTAAGAGTTCAGTGAACAATAGTGCCGAATACAGCATGCACAGCATGCGAGGAGCCTTGGGCGGGATTCACATGGCATAATAATGCCATGGTGACCATCATCAAATCAACTGCTAGTTCTACCTTTTCAAGCAAATTGGTTGTATCAACTTCCGCACAATCTCTACGAGGCCAGATACCATTGGGTGGCATTTTACCGATGCCTAGTGCGCATCACGTAAATATGGAGAAGTAAGGATGCAGGTAGAACAGGCAGAAGGTCCTACTATGGACAGGCAGGAGGAATTTTTATGGGTGGTACATCCGTAGTAGGAGAAGACTGAGGGAGGAATTTGCTTGTATAAATTATAGCTTCTAAAACTTGTTAAATAAAGTACTACACAAGATGCAACTACCGTCTCAGTTGTCTGATAATTTTTTACGATGGAGACCTCTGCACACAGTCAAGAAATGGAAATGAGTCAAGACAATCAAGAACTTTGAATGGAACAAGGTGCTGTCGTCATTGAAAGCGTTACCTTTTCCGTCGATAAATTAAGACGGGTCCCCCATTAAATGAATCTAAAGATATCACCTGGAAAGCATGCAATTCCGAAGCTGATATCTACTAAAATCAGTTGAGGGGACGGAAAAGTCCCTGCAGCTCCTCAGAATAAGCGAAACGTCATTTACTATCAACAGTCTTAAGTCCTGCTCTGTTGACTCGGTCCCAGCCTCGCCCCCATGGAGATAGGACTTTCACATTAAAAGTGGACTTGGTCAGACACTTGTGGATCCACCGCGCAGAGGCTGGGGAACCTATGCCTGGGGCACTCACATACCTGCGTCTCATCTGCCCTTACTACTGTCCAAGTAGTAGTCAAGTATTTACTGTGGACCAGGGGCGTGATGGTGCGCCTTGGAGCAGGTACGGCCATGCCAGCCAACTGCACCTTCTCCCGCCACCAGTATTTTGACAATGACCCAACACCGGATCGAGGTGGGGGGCAGGAGGAGGGGGAGGAGGAGGTGGGGGTGGAGGAGGAGGAGGACGAGGAGGAGGAGGAGGAGGATTAGGAGGAGGAGGAGGAGGAGGAGGAGAGTAGATTGCTGTAGATGCTGCGCAAATCTACGCCCCCAATTAACTAATTCACGCGCAAATCATCGTGTCTGCTTTCGCCTTGCTACGGACAACACGGTGGACATCACTGGCAAGGACGGTTGAACTGACGGGTATTTTTATGAACCTGAAACGCATTGTTTTTTTGTGCGAATTTGGTGGATGCGCATATGGCCAAATAGACCTATGCAATGGCTGCTGATTCTGTGAAGGCTCTTGCTGGTACTGGTATGCTGGTGCGATTGCGATGGATTCGCCAGTCACTGTCAGTCAGGCCGATGTCTGACTCAAATGTACGGTGCCGGTAGGAGAGGGTGGAAGTGTGTCTGGGGAGACGGTGTTGCCGTCTACGCAGATGAGTTGGAGTCGCGAGAGTTGAAGAAGGAAGAGGGGGATGAGGTGAAATAGGAGGAAGAGGGGGAGGAGGAGGAGGAGAGGGTGGGGTGATATTCTGATCTGGGAAGTTCGCTAAAATCATCCGATGTGCAGCCTCACGTTTTGGTCATACGACATATAATAGCTGATCGTAGATAGTACAGGTGAACATATCCCCAAATCAGTGTCTAAGGGGGCTGTAGGCAGTGTGCGCGGCAGGATGGGGTATATCTGGTGGAGTACAGGGATTTCAAGCCTTCAAGTGACACCCGTAATTTCTATGCGCCTTAAAGCACTTGGGTGGTTTTTTGGAGATTTCGTCAACTTTGTAGGTCTAGGCGCAAAACGTGGCTAAAACTAATCCTACGATTCTTGCCTACTGAAACTGATAAAGTAGTTCCTGCGAGTGTTCTGTGCGTTATCGATTTGAATTGGAGCCAGAGTGGCAGTTGGTTTCATGTTTGGCGCCGGACATGTGTCCTGGGTAGGTTCGCCAACTGTCGTAAACCATGAGCTGGCGCAGAATGATTGGTTAATTACCTAGATATCACCACCGGGTCCAGGGGACGACCACCGTCACTTCTGTCCTCATTCGACTTCTACTTGATATTAGTCATTTATTGGCCAGCTAGAAGTTTCTACAGTGAAACTTCAAGAATGACATTAGCGCTGCCTTGCAGGATGTCGTTTGTGGATACTTTGAAAGAAGAAAAAACACACCAAATTCTCTCTCTTCTCGTTTTCACGCTGGTTTTTTTACAAGAAATATACCAACCGGCTCAGAATCGGCGACTTCCAGACAGCTCTGTCTACATATCGTCACACACTACATCCCACCAAATGTTTCTGTGCATTTTGTTTCAACTCCCAGCATAAGGTGTGCAGCTGTTGGTGACGACCGCTTGTTGCGCAGGGCGGACAAGTCTGCTGCAGACGAATACGATGAGGATTGAGGTTGAAAAGTGAGAGAGGAAAATTTATTTGAAATCACAATTTTACAGTCAGATAAATGCATGCATATGTGTATACAGTAAATTCTGGGAGTCTTAATCAAGATAAATATGAAAGCTCAAATACTGAATCAACTTCGGACAAAAACATGGATTCACCATCAACCATTCTAAATCCACACGCATTCTGCAGTCGTGCCAAAGGAAACTAACAGAACTGTGCCGCAGCTGACGAGGAGGAGAATCTTGGAGCACTTACAGGGAGCCAATTGCATAGCACCTCGGCAAGTTTTTTTGTTCAGCATATGCTTGTGTGTTAGAACCAGTGTGGGAAGTCTTCTTAAGGGCAACGCTGTAGCCGTCGCAGGAGCCGAGCAATTCTCCTTCGCCGACCTTTGCGAGACCGTCATAAAAGAGGAGGAGTTGAGAAGATTGCAGGTCATATCTGTGAGAGGTCTGAAGCATTTAGCACAGGTCATGTGAAAATGATTAAGAAATCACTGACGGGCCAGCATTTTCGCCAGTTTTATGTTCACTGTCTGCATATTGTATCTGTGACGTTGGTATGGATTGAACAGACAATGCCGACGCATTTCGGACATCAAATTCTTTGTCACTCACGAGGTATTTCAAAAGTTAATATGGTGCTGCCTTGGCCTGTGCTGCAAGAGGGGTCAAACAGATTTGCTGAATGCAAATGCAATGCAGTGCGATTTTGTTCTGCCCTATCGGATTAGACTTGGCCTCCTTTTTCTCCGAAGCATCAGGACATATATAAAGGCGGTGGGCTTTGGCAATGGAACTATTATGTAACATATATTTTACAACATGCCAGGACAGTTGGGTACAGCTATCAACGATCACGGAGTGCAAGCACTTGGTAGCTCCCCCACCTACTGGTACTCCTGAGCTTTTCATTCTGGCCCAGGCATCGTTCGCTTCTGGTTTGTGGAACATATTACTGACATGCAAACGAACGAGGATATACTGCATAAGGAAGTTTTTGTGGGGGCTTTATGCTCCACGGAATGGGCATGCGGGAAGACGTGTACGAACTAGTCTGCATCTTTACCCTGATCTTCCGGGCCAGCACAAGTACATTGACAGAATAAACGGTTATTTTGAGCATGTAGACGCTTGGGCTTTGCTGGGAATGTTTACATCCTTAAGAAGGATCATGCGATCTCAGTGGGCAGTGCGCACGTTCCTAACTAAAAATGCCTGCACATTACAGAGCAAAGATATCGTGCTTAATCGATAATGCGGCACACGCAGATTGGGTAAGCTGATTCCGCTCACGCACTTCGCAGCCGACTTGGCATACCGTGACTTGAACAATCGCCTTTTCCCTTCACCATAGTTTGTGACTCCCTTCTGTTTCTTTACCTCAGAACAACATTTATCGGGCTGTAAAAAAAATAATTTCAACTGATGCTGCTGCTGCTGCTGCCGCTGCTGCTTTCAGTTCCAACCGCCTGTCTTCAACAAATTCGACTTCTTCATCAGCGTACCACCCGTTGTGTCCGTTACTAGAGGAGGTGCCGTGTTAAATTATCCGAATACCTGCAGTCTCATTAAAAATAATAAAATGAATACGTCGATAGGAAGTAGTGGGTCCATTTGTAGAACGACCCATATGAACTCAGTCGTGTTGCGCCTCGAAGAGTTTTTCTGTCTTCGGACGCGGATGTTGGTGCAACTAGGAGTCTATTGTTTGGCATCTATTAAGTGTTTGGTAAATAAAAGGAACAAATAGAGGACGGAAGTGGTAGGAAGAGGATAACACTTCTTTTGCTGATTAAAATGTATTTATTTCTAGTAGAATTTACCCACATGCAGACGAGACAGTGAGCTGACACAAATTTAGCGCACCAAGTCATCCTACGGACCCCATGCATTGTGCTTAATCAGCATAATTTTCATCGTCATCTTTGGCAACTGCAGCGCTATCGGTATTATCTGCAGCATCTTCTTCTCCGTCGTCGTCGTCGTCGTGGTCATCATCATCATCATCATCATCATCATCATCATCATCATCATCATCATCATCATCATCACCATCATCAACATCAGCAGCATAGGCAGCAGCAGTATCAGCATCGTTCTCCTCCTCATCATCATCATCATCCTCGTCGCCGTCCCCTCGTCGTCGTCATAACCACCATTACCTTAGTCGTCCTGGCACTGTTTTAGCAGTTTACCACAATTCCATATGTCGCATTTCAAAGAACCCCTATGTAACAGATAAGTAACAGCATGTCAGGACAGTTCGGTAGAGTTATTGACGATCACGGAGGGCAATTGCTTGGTAGCTTCCTCACCTACTGGCATTCCTGATCTTTTAAATTAAACGACCAGGTTGTTTTTAATTGCATGATTTTTAGTCGGGTTAGGACAGCGTTTGCTTCTAATTTGCAAAACATTAGAATATATTATCAAAACATTAATAAACGAATATATTCTGCATGGGGAAGGTTCTGTGGAGGTTTTATGCTCCCCAGAATGGGCAGCCAGAGGTTTTGTAAGAATTAGTCAACAATCATCCAGGTCAAGACATGCACCTTGACCAGTCGGACTTGGCGCTTGGGATTTTGTTGGGAGTGTTCACATGGGATCAAGTGGGATCATTCGATCCCACGTTCGCTGCACATGCGGGATACCTGAGTGTCGCATACACTGTTTTGACAGAGTGTCGTCAGTGGCTGCGACCAAAGTGCATGCTTAGCACCTGATTGGTCTCTGTCTGAGAGAAATTGCGCGACAATTCTAGTCCTCCTTTTTGCATCGGATGGGATGAAAGTCTAGCTAACCTGAAGGGGATGCTAAAAAAAATAACGAGGACGGGCAACGTTATAGAGAAGGACCCCAATTAACCGTCAGTAGACTGTAAATCGCGCCATACGTGATTTATGGTAAATTCAAATGTGCCGAGGCCGAATTTCTCGCAAGAGGTGACAACCGCGTGAGCCGGGAGCTGTTTGAGTCATGGCTTACGGGCCCCCAGTCCATTAACAAGTGCATTGATCTTCCACTTCCATACTCGGTGCTGATACTTCGCCTAGGCGGAATAATTGGCCACACGGGGAGAGCATAGGCGAACACTTGTCCCAACACAAGGGCCAGTGCGTCAGATGGTCAAGCAATCATCACACCAATATCCAACGCGCGTGATGAAATTGCAGCAATTAACGGCGCGAATGTCGGCCGTCACGCCACGTGCAACGATCCCTGATGAAGGGGGGAGCCGTGAATATTCAAAGGCATGCGGCAGTATGGCTACTGCATCCTATAAATACTGCAGCCCCATATGCATTAACCACCCTTATCTGCTTTTGTCTCTGAGGATGGATTCGAGCAGGAATCCGAAACGTCAGGTTAAGAAAGCTCTTGTCTCGGCGATCATGTCTTCTTCTTCAAAGTAAAGGGAGTTTTCTGGGTGAGAGAGCATGCTAGACAGTTAACTGACAAAATGCAAGTAAGCATAGAAATTGCCTGGATTTATGCCATATGTCTTATCCTACGCTATTGTACGTTAACGTAAATGAGAGTAGTAATTAAACAATAAGCAAAAAGTAAATCCAACAAAATAACGGATTTTGAGTTAAGGTATGAGGTCTTGAGAAGTAATCGTTATTGGCAGTGTAATTGCTGCAAGACCCTGCAAATGCATCCCAAGATTAATCCCATATGACAAGATCCACAGGCTACTGACACTTAATTGGGGTCCCCCTTTTAAGTGATATTATATTTTGTCATGACCAATAGTGTTTTGTCTCTCTGTCATGTTGGTGTTGTGGGACAATGGTCGTGTGTTTGTGTGTGAGAGAGTGTGTGTTTGTGTGTGTGTGTGTGCGTGTGCCCTCCAAACGGGCCAAGTGTTAGATGCGCTGGACCAAAACAGGGGCCACATCGGACTCTGGCAGGCGTTATCTGTGCGCAATAACAAATTTCAAGATTTGCGAGGTGCGCTGGCGGACCCTGTTGTCGGGATTCGTCGCACAACTGGACCGCTGCCACCACCCCATTGTTTTGCGGTCAAAATCCTGGTCATTTGTGTGTGGACCAGGGGTGCGGAGTGGAACGCCAAGGCGAGGATCCGTCCGAGCCATCCACCTGCGGCCTCCCCCGTCTCCGGTCTTCTTGACTTGGTCTTGACACCGGGCTCGGGCGAGGGAGGATGAGAGAGTGTAGGTAGATGCAGCACAAGTCTACCCGCACTATAAACCCCTGCGCAAATCACCGTTCCTGTTCCCACAATGCAGTCTGTGGGGCACACGGTGGACATCGTCGAAATCGACGGTCGAACTGTCGTGTGCATACGGTTCGTGTTACGGTACAGTATCAGGACGGGTCATGCCAATTTGACGACGCCTCAGCTATTAATATGCACCGTTGGTCGCCGCTGATCTGTTCACCCTGTTGAATAGTAACACTTGCTATGCCAAGTTTGGTCTGGTTGACGCCTACCTGCAGGTTGAAGTGGCTTCAGATTAGCACGAATTGTTGAGGATCCACACTCAACGTAGTCATCCTGAGGTCAGACCCGTTGTGAAAATAAAGCCGATCTGTTTTCTCCCAACCGATTTGACTGTTAATCTAGACGACTTCGCAGCTGGCCGTAGCTGCTGGGTGCGGCAGACATGGCGTCGGGACAAACTAAATGGAAGAAACACCAAACAATGTAGACAGAAACGAAGCTATCTTGTTTTGGGCTTTCACCGATCAAATTAAAAGACATGCTCGCCCTGTTGTGCGTGACAGGACAACCACTTAGTAGTTGAATGCTAGAACCCTGGACCTAAAAACGCTCAGTTACCACAGGAACCCGTGTCCTGCAAGGGTGCGATGGATTACGGCTAGCTGAGAGGTGATGGCTAATAAGTCAAATATAGCCCTCCCAACCTCCCTTGCCTTTGTTGACACCCCTTCCAGAACCATTACCTGTCCCAACCACCTCTCGGCGTTTTGGCTTTCGACATTCTGCCAGTATGGGAGGCCCATCATATTTTTAGGCAGTCAAATTGCAAATCGACCAGAGACGAGGATCCTTCTGGTTGCGTGTTAAATCGACAAACGCGATGGAGACATTGCCGCCAACGACGATGCTCACTGCATCCCTATCTAACGCATATCTGCACGTTTAATGAAATTTTCGCCCGCAAACCACGCAAATGATTGCACTTTGTGCTCACTGTTTATAACCGCACTTAAAATTTCATGTGTACATGTAAAGGACCCCCTGCCGCACCTATCGCAGTTCCACACAGTAAAAACGTTTTCCACGAACAAATATGTTACTGGCACAATTTAAGTAAGATATTCATGTAACATTGCACACCCGTCCGTCACATTAAAACCCCACCAAGTGCATTTCCAAATCATTATTATACTAACTCCCAGTGATACTGCAGGAATTCGACTAAGGCGACATCATATATTCTTCACTTGCCAACGTCAAAGCAACTATTGGTAACGACCGCAGTTTGCGGACGAATAAGATGAAGATTGAGGTTTGAAACTGTAAAGGCAACATTTATTTGAAATCGCAATTTAACAATCATAAAAATACATATGCATATATACATACATACGGTAGATGGTCGCAGTCTTAATCGATGAAAACGTGACAGCCTGCATGCTGAATCAACACAGTTTCAATATTTGGATTAATTAGCGGCCGTTCTAAATCACCCCGCATTCTCTTATCCTGTCTAAGGAAGTGAAGAGTATTGTGGCATGGCCGATCAGGCGAATCATGCAGCGCCGATCAGTACCTTGTTGTGGCTAAGGCCTGCATACAAACTCTTTGCACAGACAACACTGCAGACTAGGAATATGAAAGGTGGTCTGCGCTTCATGATTCGCCTGATCGGACATGCCAAAATACTCCTAACTTCCTTACACATGATAAGACAAGGCGCGTTGATCTAGAATGACTGATAGTTAATCCAATTTTTGAAACAGTGTTGATTCAGCATCTAGGCTGTCACATTTTCCTTGATTAAGACTGAGAGCATCTGCCGAATATATGTTGTCTGTTCAGAGAGTGTGTGTGTGTGTGCAAGCCTTAGCCACAACACAGGAGACCTCGCAGCAATCGAATGACCCTCCTCCGCCGCCGCCGTTTGCGAGAACGTCCTAAGGGAGGAGGAGAAGGAGAGAAAATTGCATGCCTTGACTGAGGAATGGTCAGTGAATCTGAGCCTTGTGAGACTCATTCATTATGTATGTATGTCACTATCAGGCCTGATTGTGGAGGGAAGAGAGGGCGGCGGCAGCGGCAGCGGCGGCGGCGACGGCGGCGGCGTATGTAGGACATCAACATCTTTGACTCCTAGTGGGTCTTTGAAAGACAACAAGATTTTTAGTATGCCGTCTTCTGCCAGTGCTGCAAGAAAGCACAATCAGATTTGCTGAATGGATAGCGTCTTAGTTTATCCCTCGTGGATAGGACTTGATTACACATCTGCAGCTAGGCTTCACGAGATAGATAAATGTGTTTGGCTTGGTCGATGGAAGCAACAGCCTAAGTGGTTGTGTACACGTCATCTTCCACTTCAACATCTGCCCGTTACGGGCGAGCGTGTGAGCGTACAGGTCTTATTCATCAGAGGGAAAACTTTGGGAATGCAATGTTGCGACTAGATTCCATTTCACGAATTCCTCTTGGAATCTCACTAAGTCAGTCGAAGTGTTCATGCTCCACCTGTCTCATTTTCCTCTGGCATATTCTTCAGTGTTTTTCGAAGAAGACGAACCTGACCAACACGACGACCTTTTGCGTCTGTAGGTCTCTAATAAGCTGGGTGTGGTGATGATGGCAAACTGAGAATGGAATAAAGGTATTCCAAGTCGGGACGCAGAAAATCATGCGGGGCTCTATCTCCATTGTCGTCGTCGTCGTCGTCGTCATCATCATCATCATCATTATCATCATCGTCATCATCATCGTCATCATGAGGAACAATAGCAACATCGATGACAAACACATCGTTTTCTACGCAAGAACTCCACATGCGACAGCTAGTGTATTGTCTATCTACAACTGCTGATATCCCAGTCAACAGCCTTGGAAATTCCTCAGTGCATATATGTGATGGGACGCACAGATGATTATCGAATTTTAGCAAAGCTTAGCCTCTGTTTTGAGAACTTGCAGCAACTGCATACTTCAACACCTGGCCAGTCGATCCGCGAATAATTCGGGAGATGCCAAATGTGATCGGTATGTAGCGGCCGGGCAATTAATTTCTGTAATCATCGTAACACCTGGGCAATTTAGTACGCTTCTCTGACTCTGTCTCTGATGATGGATTCCAGTAAGAATCCGCAACGTCAGGTTAATGAAGCTCTTGTTGAAACGATCCTGTCTAATTCTTCGCACCTTAGCATATAACACATATAACGACTCGCAGGCTGTTGGGGTACATTCTTCTTACTAAAAAATACTGAGTCTCAGTGTACAAATTAATTTTGACAAAATATCAACTCACCGATTTCGTCAGTTGCATCCGTCGACGCCACTAAAATTGGATTGTCGCCGCAAGCCGGCAACCAGGTGAGGGGATCACTGAAGACGACGGGGAAGATGGCCTCCGTGTTGTTGTCACCTAAGAGACATCGGGCATTTAATTCAAAACGCTGTTTAAATCGGAAACCTAGTTGTTGCGTTAAGGAGTGAAATGGAAAATCGGTTGCAGTTCACTCGTAAAGTGGGCTTATGGACTTTAATTGGACGTCATAGAATGGGGACGCTGGACGCATTAATCCAGACTGCAGTACCAATTTTAGGCTAACCCCAATTGGAGAAGCGGTCTGTCTTCTGTTTTGTACTGCTACACTCAGGAATGTATTCAACCTAGAAGAGTGGTTCCAGTTCTGCCAGAAATACACATCTGTCTTTCAACGCCCATGATTGAGATAATGCAAGTTGATGAACACATCACCGGGCCCACCTATGCACACCATGCATATTCCATTTTCTGGTGCGAAAGTGTAAGTTGCATTGGGTCATATTAATGTCGGGAAGTCTGAGAAATCTACATGTTATGTTTAAGATTCGGATCTAGCCGAGTTCGTCAAACAACTGCCATTGGCGCGGACTTTCATTAAGGAGAGTTCAATGGAGGGAAGTTGGTCTGCGTTGGTTAAAGTGCTGTCAGTGAGTGCACAATGAGGTATGATCTGTGGATAATAGATTGACCTACCGTTTGCCGCGGACATTCTCCACTTGTGCTCAATCGGAGCTGGCGTCATGGTCGGCAGGACGACGGACGCGTGCTCTGCCTCCCTTCGACCTTCCGACGCCAACAGCAAATCCATATCATCTACAACAGTGAGATTGCGTGTGAGAGAGGTCATCGAACATATGTGTTGGGACAAATTTCACCTAACCCTGTTATTAACTGCAAGCCATATGACACGGAAGACCGATTGACAATTTGCAGATAATGCCTACCCTGGACCGTGGCCAGTTTGGCTTTGTGTTCGGCCTGCTCATGCGACTGTGTGGCATGGACCTCGCTGCCCTCGTCAGCACACTCCCAACGTTCCTGGGCACACCTGTGTTCCACGTCATCTAAAATGCGTATGGTGAGTGAGTGAGTACGGGTAGGTGACATTGTAAGCCAAATAAGTGTAGGTTGATTTTTCGCAGCAGAACACTCGATTTATCGTCAGACATGACAATGAGTAAAAGCACTGTCGCAACAGAATATTGCCTTATCTCGCACATGTATGTTCGCGACATTACCTACAACTACCTTAAGAATTACTCTAAAATCAGAAAGCTTTCTTGGTGGTAATATCAACAAATATGCCGGGCGCCAAATCCCTCTGATGAATTGATGCCTTCATACACAGATTCCTCCTACCACTGCGTCGGATTCCCATGTGCGAGCCGTCTCCATCTTATAATTTGCTAAAATAATGTCAGTAGGGCTAATGACAGGGAAGCAACCTTGAGACCTGACATTTGGACAATGAACAACTGTGCCTTAAACATCAAGAGATTGACCTACCGCATTCTGCCAACATTCTCCATTTGTGTGGCTCTTTCTGGGCTGGATCCTGCCTCGACGGTAGGATGACAGGGGCCTCCTCTGCCTCCATCCGGCCTTCCAGCACCACTGGTACCTTAGTGCCATCTACAACTTCCACGGCAATGTGTGTGAGCCATTATACATTGGCAGCAAAGAAATATTATCTAACATTCTCATTAACTGCAAACCATATGATACGGAAGCCTCTAAATAATAAAACGGAAAAAGGCCAAATGATAATTCGTAGATAATGCCCACCCTCGACCGTGCTCAACGTAACTGCCTCTTCAGCCTCCTCATAGAACTGTGCGTTGTGGACAGTCTCGTCGTCTTCAGCGCACTCGCAACCTTCCTGGGCACGCCGAAGTTCCATGCCATCTAAATTGCGTACGTGGAGAGAGTACTGATGTGCGGTTTAAGATTGATTTCTTAAATGCGAAACGCACGATGGATCGTGAGCCGTGGCGCTGAGAAGAAAAATTGCCGTATGGGATGGAGGTAGATGGTAGAATCTTGCTTGGCGTAAATCCATTGCCGACGCCTTGTCCCATATATGCAATTTTCCATATGAGTACGAAGCGTTTTCCCGCAACTTACATACCTCGAAAAATGGATGCAGTGAACTGGGTCGTGTTACAGAGGGCCACTAGGCTAGCAGATGATTATAACATCCACGGTAGCATGGTGTGTGCGTGCGTAGATGCGCTGTCCAACATTTTACTGTGTCTGTTTCATTTTTCAGGGGAGCACACGGCAGACATCTTCGGCAACGACGGCCGAACTGTCGTGTGTGTGTTAACGGGCGCCAGGGGTATTTGCCGCTGACACACTCATAATTTGCAAACCATATGATAGAGATGGTCGTCAAAGTAAAATCAGAGAAAAAGTGTTTGATTAGTCACATATAATACCTACCCTCGACTGCCGTCAGTAGGGCTTGCTTTACAACCTTCTCATCTGACTCTTCGTCGTAGACTATGACACCTTCCTTTGCATAGTCCCAATTCTCCTTAGCGGTTTGGAGTTCAATATCATCTAAAATGCATACGCGGGATGCGAACAGACCATTCGTCATAGGATTGAGAAGAGTTGGTGATGATTGTGATGGTTTCGGTGAATTACAAATCGTTTCCACTGCGGAGTTTAACGTGACATATGGCCATTGCCAATGGCTTGCCCCCAAATACACTCTCCAACACGAATACTAAGATGCCTTCGTGGAAGATGCATACCACCGAAATGGATCCTGTGAAGTGAGTTGCGTTACGGAGGGTCCACTTGGACTGCTTTTGACTTATTGTGATTTCTTCAGCCTACCTGAATTCGTTATAATAAAGCAACTGAAGCAATTAATTGGAGGTAGATCCGTCTCCTTCCCTCCCACTTTTATCCTCCAACTGGTGGATAGTGTGAGTCGGGTCAAGGGCCTAGTGGTGGAGTGTTTGGTACTCGACAGATATGCATGCTGCGACAATAATCAACATCAATCATACATTCCTGTATGCCTTATTTGGTCAAATTCCTGCCTGCATACATGCAACCATTCTGAAACTTTTGTTTGCAGAAATTACATTAGTATTCGTCCGATATGCATGCCGAGACAAATGCTAACATCCATCTATTGGCTAGATTGGTAGCAGCTTTTGATAGCATAATAGCAGCGATGAAAGACAACAGAGGATGCAGGTAGATGGATGCAGTGCTGTTTCGGGCTTATTTTGCCTTCCTTCAGCCAGTCACAACCCTGACCACCATCAGCTGGGACCAGAAACACAAACATGCGCCCAGACACACCTGGCGCAGTTGGTCTATTACTGGGGTCAACTAGATGGGTCATAAGCACTTCATCGAACCGAAGTTCATCAGTGTCTCGCCACTTGCAATTATTTGTCGCTGCGGATCGGGTATTTATTCAATCAGGAAAGGGCGCATACCGACCCACTGGCTTCCCGAAGCATACAAGCTCGCATCTGCGGAGACAGAGAATGACAAGCGGCAAAGCACTGATGAACTGCGGTTCGATGAAGGGCTTGTGGCCCACCTAGTTGACCCCAGTAGAAAACCAACAGCGCCAGGTGTGTCTGTGCCCATGTTTTTGTTTCTGTTTCCAGCTGATAGTCAGGGTTGTGACTGGCTGGATGAAGACAATTAAGCCCGAAACAGTACTGTATCCATCTACACGCACTCTCTGTCCGGCCTCATTGCTGCAAAAGCTAACGTCGATCATACATTCCTGACTGTGTGATTTGGCCCAATTCATGCATGCATATTTGCAACCATGCTGATAAATTATGCAGCAGTATATTACGTTACTCCGTACATGAGTGTTCCCAGTTATACTTCCATTTTCCTGAACAACTACTTTACCATCGTTAGTGGCAATGTCAACAAACAGGCGGGGCGCCAAATCCCTCTGATGGACAGATGCCTTCCTACAGAGATTCTTATACTGCGTGCGATTCCCACGGGCCAGACTTTCTCTTCTAATTTGTTAAAATAATGTTAGTATGTCTACTGTCAGGAGAGTAACCGTGCGACATGACATTTGGACAATGAACAACTGTGCCTTACACATCAAGAGATTGTCCCACCGTTTTCTGCAGACATTCTCCACTTGTATACCTTCTGGATTGGCGTACTGGTCGACAGGGTGACCGGGGCGTCCTCTGCCTCATTTCGGCCTTCCAGCGCCCATGGAACATTAATGTCATCTAAAAGCATCCACAGTAGTATGGCTGTGTGTGAAGTGTCATCGTACATTAGCGGCAGGACAGATTGCACCTAACGCCCTTATTAACTGCAAGCCACATGTTACCGACGCCTTTAACTATAAAAAGGAAAAAAGCCGACTGACAATTCGTAGATAATGCCTACCCTCGACCGTGGTCAATGTAGCTTCATGTTCGGCCTCCTCCCATGATTGTATGGCGTGGAGGACGACGCCCTCGTCAGCACACCCCCAAAATTCTTGGGCATACCGGAGTTCAGTGTCACCTAAAATGCGTACGCGGAGTGAGTACAGGCAGGCGACTTGACAGGCCAAATGGGTGTGGGTTTTGGTCTGTGGGTGGGTGGTGGACGGTGGTGGTGGTGGCGGCGGTTTTGGTGACTCTCAGGTCATGTCCACTAGCGTGACTTATGGCCACCGCCATCTCCCGCACTTGCATCTCTCAGTGGAGCTACTGTCAGGGAATTAACCATGGGGCATGACATTTGAAAGGTGAACAACTGTTTTACATTCAACCGATTGACCTGCCATTTGCCAACATTGCATTCATTACTTCTCGCAAATCTCTGCCAATCTCGGACCTTCAGGACCGCCGACTGCGGTGAAAATGGCTTGTTGTGAATTCCCACGATGGACCTCTGTGGTCTGCACAAAGGCCCCCTCTTCCGCATTTTTCCAAAATTCAAATCCAATTTGGAGTTCAGTGTCATTTAAGATGCATACGCGGAGTGAATGCAGATGTGTCAGATGAGCGTCCTTGAGGTAAACTGGTTTCACGCAGCATAACACACGATGGCTGGTCGACCGTTGCATGGAGAAGAGAAATTGGTGAGAAGAAGGTAGGCAGAGGTGGCGCTGGCGGTGGTGATGATGATGATGATGATGACGACGACGACGATGATGATGATTGTGGTGGCGGTGATGATGATGATGATGATGATGATGATGATGATGATGATGATGATGATGATGATGATGATGATGATGATGATGATGATGATGACTCGCAGACCATGTCAATTGCAGTGACCAGCGCGACGTAGAACTATGACCTATGTGTGTCCCGCGTATACTCTTTCCGACGCGAGTACGAAGTTGCCTTGTTGGACCATACATCTCACCAAAATTGATCCCATTAGATGGGTTGTGTTAAAGAGGGTCCGCTTTACTAGCTTGTGGCCTCGTTGTGGTGCTCTAGTCCAATAACAGCGGTTTTTAAGTCACAACATCTAGAGCGTCCGATTTGTTTTAACAAAACAGTCAGGGCAATAGATGCACCTATCGCACCTATGCACCTATTGTTATTTCCTTGCACCAGTGGATATTGCGAGTCAGGCCGGGGGCTTAGAAGTGGATGATTTGCGTCAGGCTAAATGCAAACACGAGCGACGATGGTGGCGGTGTCACCAACTGCATCTGTGAAATGCCGTAGATGCCATTTCTGCAAGAGCCACCCCCAGCGCATGCATGGTCGAGTGTTCGCGGAAGTCCAAACGACTGCCGAAACGGTGTGCAGCACTGCTCGGTCCCTCCTAGCACACCAGGAGCTATTTCCGAACGATCAGTGAGCGTCCCCTACCATTGCATATTCCCGATCGAAACCGACAGGAGAACGGGCCCGTGGTCCAGTGGTTAGAGGCGTTGAACTCCTAACTAACAGGTCGCGAGTTCGAGCCCCAGGTGTTACACACCTCGGGGTGGGGCATGACTGGCTGATGACGGCTAATAAGCCGGAAATGGCCCTTCCAGCCTCCCCTCTCTTTGTCGGTAATGCCATTCTACCTATATCATGCTCCGCCGTGCGGCTGCTGACTGGGCTCGTGAGAGAGCTCGTAAGGCACAACAGAACGAGTGAGTTCTGTGAGGACGATCGGTGAGCGCCCCCTACCATTATTTCCGCTTAATCAGGAGGTCACTTGTACGATGTCGTCTTTTGTGTGTTTGTGGCCTATGCTGTTTGCCATTAACGAGGAGGCCAGTTTCTAGATGCACAAGCGAATTCAGATTAATCGAATTTGAAATTTGTTGCGCTAATTATGAGGCTTGTTGCCTACTGAAATTGCTCATATCTTGAATCAGTTCTGTAACTGGGGCCAGATGGCTGGCTCTGATGACAAATACTGCAACTCTCCTTTATCAGACAAGTTTAATAAAATGTACTAGCGACTTCTATGGGAGGCAACACGCGGTATTTGTCGGACGAGACTTACAAAACTCCTTCTCCTCCTCCTCCTCCTCCTCCTCCTGCTTCCCCTCCACGCTCTCCTTCTCAGTTCCCCTCTTCTCCACCTGACACTCCTCCTCCTGTTTCTCCTTCTCACGATCATCTCCCTCGTTCTCTCCCTTCTCCATTTCCCGTTTTCCATTTCCCTCCTCCTCTTCCTGCTCCTTCCCCTCACGCTCCGCCTCCATTGAATTCCACTGCCATATCTTCTCAGAAATAAACCACACAATATTCACTGCCCAATCGACGTACACTGCAACCACCAGTGGTAGCTAGGTACGCGATTCTGATGCCCCATCCGACTATTCAAACAGGCCACATCCATGTGTATTTATTCATTCACCTGCTCCTGTGGAGCGGGATATATTGGCCGTACAACGAGGCGTCTCGAAATGAGAATATGCGAACATATGCCTGCCTGGCTAGGTAGAAGTGAAAATCGATTGATTTCGAGTTCAATTCTCGCACATTTAATCGATAAGACCTACCAAGCCGACGCTAAAGAAGCCTTTAAAGTTACCTAACGGGCACCGGCCTACTATTCTAAACGCCTGCGCAAACGGGTGCTAGCCACAGCCGAAGCAGTGGCCATTCGAATAGCGAATCCAGCACTCTGTCGTCAGAAGATGCTGACACAAGCAGTCTGTCTGGCCTGGCCGACTCCAGACGGTGATCGCACGCCGTCCCAACGCCCTGAGAGCAGTCACACGCACTCACAGGCCTTACAATCTAACCGGAACTCCTCTCCTTCCCCCCCCCCTCCCACCCCAACTCCACCGTCCTCAACACGCTGCCTCTGTCATGCGGACGGCGTGGGAACGTGGAGTCCGACTAGCCCTGCCCCTGAGACGCATTTATATCCTGTCTACAATTAGAATGATAATTGCCCATGTAAATGTATCGGCCTGATGATGAGTTACCGAAAACATATGTTCTGAGTCTTCAATCGTAATATGGGAATTTCTGCAGAACTGTTCAAACAGTGCCTGAACCAATAAGTGCGGATCTCGCACGCGATTGGCCGCCATGAAGGCCTGGACAGTCGCACCTGTAAATTTGCGAATGCAGTTCAATAGGTGACTTCTAGTAACCGAGCCTAATACGAAGTTGGGTCGTTGTGGCGAAGAGCTGCAACCATTTTTCTGACGAACTGGCGTATATAAAATAAAAACCAGTGCAGGAGTGTACTCTTGTCCTGAACATCTAGACTCGGGCATAATTGCCTCTTCCTACTATGAGTCTTCTATCACGATTAGCCCGATGCCCTGCTGTACTTCGATAGAATGCAGTGACCTATTCTGGGCTCTAGCCTCCTTGTCAGTTACAGCGTGTGCGCTAAATCTTCACGTCTTCTATCCTGAGGAAGGAACATTTCTGAACCGTTTTTTGAGGACGAACTCAAGGACACAGCCAAAATTAGGACACAGACATAGGTAAAGAAGATGAAGACCCGATCTCTGGGACAGTGGGTTTATTAGTCTGAGCTTTCGGTCTCGTACAGGAGTTCTGAGCTTTCGGTCTCGGTCTCAGACTAATAAACCCACTGTCCCAGAGATCGGGTCTTCATCTTCTTTACAACAAGAACCTGGGATTCGCATATTCGCTTCCATCCACAGACATAGGTAACCGTCGGAATGTAGCGTAGCAGAGGATGTCCTTATTTACTTATATGACCGGATGAGCACACTCTAAGTGTTCCAGTTCAATGACCAGTGAAATTGCGTTTCACAATACTTGGACGCATCTGCCTACGTCCATGGTGGATAATCAAATGGTAGCCTTTTAAACAACTATCGTTCCTACGATTTTAATCTAAGAGTCAACCTCTGTTGTGTTAAATTCTGTACAATCTTAATTGAGCTCGCACAACGCTCAGCTCTAGTTTGCTGAACATTACCACGCATAGTAGAAAGATGGAAAAAATCAGGTTATATTACATCCAGAGGGTTCTGTGGATGTTTTTCCTCTCCTCAGTACGGTCGGAAAGAATAATTTTTCGGAACCGATTCCGGTCTCCAAGCAACGCCCAGGTCAACATCAGTCCCATTACTTATTAAACAGTTTTTTTGTCGACTACGTTGACACTTGGGTTTTCGTCGGGAATGTAGACATATCCCACACAACCGATAGAGTTCAGTCCAAGCAAGCACTTGTGCTTACCTGCTTGCAGCGTATGTTTCGAGAATGTCCACCTTCCCAAAGTGATCGATCACGCCACTTTGGAAACTGTAGGAAGTTCTAGAAGGCCCGACCACGTGCGGCCGCCATCTTGCAGAAGGTTCTAGAAAGCGCACCCCTAAAGGGACGTGTCCGCCGAACTTTTCCATATTTATACGCCAGGCACTTAGTCGGAATTTGGCCTCTTACGAAAAGTATGCATATAATAAATTATTATAACGCTAAAATTAAGCAAGAAAGCCCTGGCATAAGTTTGTTTAACTTTCCGCCCTCGACCTACCCTCAACCAATCAACAATGGCGGACCCAACCTTGTCGACTTCCCCTCTGGCGAGGATTAGCCCCCAACAACCCCGTGGCAGCCCGCCAACCTTCGGACGTGGGACCTCTGTCGCTGTCTTCGTTGGATTCCCGTGCCTTCGCCACCCCCGCTGGACAATCTCTCCTTCCCCCAGTTATTTTTGTAATTAGGTTTCCCCTTTTAGTCTCCTATTGTATATAGGCGTTCAAGTACATAGAAGTTACCAAAGCCTTACTTTCCTGGGCCGTCTCTCGTACTGACATTTGGGCTCGTTACAAAACCGCGTGCATACGTGCGTGCGTTCCACCTGCCTGGCGTAGGCACGTTGCCAACGCCACCAGGTTACTGGCTGCGACCACTGCGCATCCTTGTGACCTGATTGGTTCGTGTCTGTGGGAAGCGGCTCAGCTACTGTCGTCCCCCTTTTTGGAGCGGACTGTAAGGAGCTCTAGCCAACCTGAAAGTGATGGTACAAGTAAACGCACTTTTTCTGTCCGAATGACTTGCAAGTGACCGATAAATCGGACGCGTTTAAAACTGTCAGGACACAATAAACGACGCGGGTTGGAAGGTAGTCAGTCAATGGGGATAACTAGATTCTCACGAAAGTGTCCTGTAGCGACTGGAGAACGGAAATTCAGGCTGCATTGGCTCCTTCCTAATGCGCCTTTCAAGGCGCTCTCATCTATGTGAGATCCGAACAGCCCTCTCAGGCAGTGTTAACCTAGTCGTATGCGGCTTGCGTATAAGGAATGTTTAACCTTGCCAACAGAAGCAGACTTGAAACACCATCGCTGGGACAAGAGCTTTATTACCCTGACGTTTCGGATTCCTGCTCGAATCCATCATCAGAGACAAAAGCAGATACGGGTGTTTCATGCATAAGGGGCTGCAGTATTTATAGGATGCAGTCGCCATGCTACCGCATACCTATGAATATTCACGGCTCCTCCCTTCATCAGGGATCGTTGCACGTGGTGTGATGGCTGTTTGATGGCCGACATTCGCGTCGTTAATTGCTGCAATTTTATCCCGTGCGTTGAATGTTGATGTGATGATTGCTCGACCATCTGACGCACTGACCCTGGTGTTGGGAAAAGTGTTCACCTGTTGCCAATTACTCCGCCTAGGCGAAGTCTCAGCACCGGGTATGGAATGGGAAGATCATTGCACTGTCCTTGATAATGGGTTCGAGCGGAAGGCCAAAACGTCAGACTAATAAAGTTCTTGTCCCAGCGATCGTGTCTCCTTCTTCAAGAATGTTTAACCATGTTCGCCGCGCATAATGCATAAGCAGTCCATGCCGTATGCCTCTGCAATTAGGATCTGATTGCAGCAACAAAAGCTCAGTTGCACAAATAACTGTTGAACCCTATACGGATTATCTTCCAAATTTTGATGCAGGGATTTAAGCGGATTATGAGGAACCCGGGAGGAAGGATTAAAAGAAGGCCAAGACGAGTCCCCAAAAATGAGGCTCAGACGGGGACGAAACATCTCCTTGATGGACACCCCGAAGAAAGTTGATGCCGTCGCCACAGGGGTAACTGAATGACAAACTGCCAGAGGTCCATAATGTGGCCGACCGTTAACCTTAAAAAGTGTCATTATTACTCCTCTACCCGAATACTGGGGCCAGATGGAGTATAAATAATTCTAATGCTACCCATAAGACAATTCCCACCGTCGCATGTAACGCTGTTCACTTCCGTCGAACTGGTTCGGTTGTGGCACTGAAGAACTGCGACGCTCACGGTACCTTCTCCGGTCTCAATCAGCTTGTGAAGAGGTACCTGACTAATTTACCTTTGACAATTTGGTCCCTTTTTCTTTGACCGCATTGCTTTTTTGAATGTGACGTAAAACGACACACCTGCACAACCCGCCTTGCTAGCGTGCTCTGCAGTGGTATTCTGTTGTCAGTTTTCTTAACGTTCAAAAACCTCTATATTATTCACTGCTCTGATTTACTTGCTGCATTTAAGGCTAGGGGCTCGTGAGATATAACTCGTTAGTTCGTGGGAACATTACAATTTACAACATTGGTGACTCCCGACGTTAGCGCAGACTTCAGTTCTTTCCTTCTGTAACATTTAATGACATTTAACGTCCTGTATCTATTTGCTAAATTTTAGTTCATTTACATTTCTTGCTTCCCCCATCGATGGGATGGCATTTGACGTCCCTGCATTTACTACCATCAACGCCCCACCTCCGACGACGTGGACTCGGTCCCAACCTGTCGTCATTGCAATTGCAAATTCACCTCACGCATCGGCCTGATCGGTCGCTCGTGGATCTATCGCACAGAGACTGACAAACCAGTGCCTGGTGCACCTACACAAACGAGACGCACTCAAGTCAACTACGTGTATTACCTCCGCATATTCAGCCACCACACGGGCCCATTTGGCCACATACACATGGAAACATGCGACAGCTCACTGCCGATCATACCACACTATCACATTTCTCTCCACGAGCATCTATAATGCGCGACAACATCACTCATCGGCACGCAATGCAAGTAAACGACTGGCACCTGTCACGTAAATGATGAGTTTTTTTCTCATCATATTCTCCATGTGGCTACTCTGGTGTATGTGTGATCCGATCCTGAGACTATCATGGTGCGCCAAGCGCCGTGGCTTGGAAGGTTTCCGACTGACGCCTCAACTCAGTCTGTCCAGTTGTGGGTGTTTTTGGGAAG